CGGTGGTGTCGGGCCGGATGCGAGAGCGGGACGGGTGCACGAGAAAGAGAGAGAGAGAGAGAGAGGTGGAGAGGTGGACTAGCTTCAGCCACTGAAGAGTAAACTGGCCAGACTGCCTGCCGCCGTCGACAACGTAACACCGTTCTTCGGCCAGCGACAACTCTTGAAAGGGGAGACGCGGACATAGAGAGAAAGAGAGAGAGAGAGAATAATGGAAAGAATATATAAGAAGGGATATTTCGAGAAAATTATTTCGTTCCTATTCCTAGTCGAAACTGTTTCACTCCATTTCTTTTCAATCTCGAACATTGGTACGAGATATTAACGAGGGACTAACGAACTTTGGCTTAGGAATCTTGGCAAGTTTAGACTGCGTTTAAGAGCAACGGCGGATCGGTTAACGGGACATTCCTGTTTCGTTACGCCGATGAAAGAATTAATCGGCTAAGAGTCGTGGCAGAGTTGGCCCAGACTGCCTGTCGCCTCTCGGTTATACGTGCCAATAAAGCTAGCCAGAGGAATGCGCTACCTAAAACGATCGCATCACGACGCGGTGTGCCCACCTTTTCTGACCTTATTCGACGAAATTAGAAATCGATCGGCTCCTCGATGAAAGAAAAAAAAACACCTCCTGTTCCGCCCACGGAACGCGTTCACGTTTGATCGATATAAATTTTCCATCAAACCGATTCGATGGTAAATCGAAAAACGATAATATAATCAACGCGAGGCGAATCGTTCCAAGCAAGATGGAACCAGAATCGAAAAGCGAACTATTTCTCATCCGATTTCGCATTCTTCGCGATTATCGGCCAATAATACTCCGCCACTCTCTCTCTCTCTCTCTTAGAAATCACCCACGCGAGAGGGGAGAGAGGGTTGAGAGGATCGTCAGCTGCGGATTTTTGGCGCGGACTGTCCACTCGGGCCGGCGAAAAAATAGCAACCGTGGTCGGTTCAACGATCCCGCTCGATTTCCTCGCCAAGAGGAGAGGAGGAGGAGGAGGAAGGTGGGACGGCCCTGAAAAATCGAGGGGATTCCCAAGATGGATGATAAGCGGACTCGCGCAATTAGAGCGTCAGGCGTTGCTCTCTAACAGTGTCTTTCGTTCTACCGTTAACCGATCCCCTCGAAAGCTCGGTGAATTTTAAACGATCCGAACTCGAGATCCGTTCGGGAGAGGAGACGCGACTAGGAGACAGATCGAGTTTTAAAAAAATCGAGGCAAGGACGAGATTCAGGATCGTAGCTCTACAAATACAAGTATACGAACGGATGCGTGGACGAGGAAGAGAAAGAGAGAGGAACGGTATTCTAATTTCTACGACGACGAGATTTACAGATCGTTTCACGAGGCGCGGTCAAAGATTAATGATCCGGGCAGGGTAAACACATAAAATAGCTGAATATTACACGGCAGCTGAATAAAGAATAACGGCATAAACGCGCGAATGACAAACATTTCCGCGGGGAACGTGGAAAATATGAGGGCGGCAGGGGGCGAGGAGGTAGGCGCGGTGCTAGAAAGTCGAATGAATTAAGCACGCCTGTTTATGATTGTTAGCGGCTGCCCACGTGCTCTCCGCTCGCCACGGCTTTCGCCTCGCTTCTCGCCCTCTTTCTCTCCCTCGTTCGCGTTCCTTTCCCTCCTCCATTATCCATTTATCCGCCCCCTCTCCCCCCTCCCGTCGCTCAATTTCAATCGAATCGATTTTTCCATCCATCCATTCTTTCCTTCCTTCCTTCCTTTCTTTCTTTCTTTCTTTCTTTCTTTCTTTCTTTCTTTCTGCTCGAACAAAGGAAGAACGAGAGAGAGAGAGAGAGAGACAACGACGATGACGAGGACGACAATCGACGACGAGTTCTCTCCTCGGAAACAAAGGGGCCACCAACCGCTCGATCACTTACCTGAAACAAAACCGAGCAATTTTAATTAGCAATCGCGTTAAAGGAGGAGGGGAAGGGAGAGGGGAGGGAAGCGTGATCGCGCGTAGGACAAGCTAATC